TCTCTCTCTCTCTCTCTCTCTCTCTCTCTCTCTCTCTCTCTCTCTCCTTCCTTCCTTCCTTCCTTCCTTCCTTCCTTCCTTCCTTCCTTCCTTCCTTCCTTCCTTCCTTTTTCTGCTTAGAAATAATTTTAGAACAAGAGAGATCTTGATGGAATTTCATTCCTCTGATAGAAAGAAAAGGAGAAACCAAGGCTCCCCTCTCAATTTGTGCCAAGAAAGAGCTCTGGGACCTTGGCTTTGCTTCACCTTTTCATGGACTTCTTACTCAAGTGGAGGTTGATGTTGATGGCGTTGGTGGGAGAAGCTACAGGCAGGAACCAAGCCCAGTGAAAGACATGTTGATGAGTTCAAGAAAACGTCTGGTAGAGTCTAAAAGTGTCTCAGTGTTCTGTCTAGGCACCTTCTTCTTCTTCCATAGCAATTAGAGGAGGGTCTTTAGAACCGGGTGTTCAAGTCATGCTTTATGTTGGCAGAAGGACTTTATCCTGTGAATTGTTGATCCTTAACTGTTTTGCACACACTACTTTTTGGATTGGGGTGCCTGCGGTGGAAAACCGTGCACTTGATTCTCATGGGTCCACTAGGATGAAATATGTATTGCTGTCTTGACAAATCAATATAATGTAATGTATTACCTGACCCTGGAGATCTATGGTCTTGTTGATTTTTTTATTCACTTCGAACCATTGTCATCTTTGAACACCACCTGAGGCTATTATACCTGTTGTTCTCTCCTAGGCTTCCCCAAAAAGCACTAAGTCAATTCTGAGCCCCGGCAAAAACCCTCTTTTATTACATTAATGTGAATTTATTTCATTCACAGTCAGCGAACAGCTTGGCAAACAGTCTTGCGAAGATATACTAATTTAGCTCAGACCTTTATCAATCCTGGAATGCTGCCCAGTAAATAGTTCCATACTCAGTGCTGACAGGGAAGGGCTGGGTTATACAGACAAATCCTTACAAGGCTGGAATGAAGGAACGAGCAAGTTGTTTCCTGCAAAAGCCCCCTCCCCTTTTGCTTCTCTTTTAATCCTGGTTGAGTGGCCATTCATCATCTACCTCCCATGTCGAGCCTGAGTTCTTAATTGTGCCTTCCTTTTGGCAGCTCTGCTCATGCGCAAGCTGGGAACAGGTTCCAGAAGCTCCTCCTCCTCACTGCTGTCTGAGCCTGAAGGCAGCTGATGACTGCCAGCCTGCCCTGGCCCCACCTCTGCCTCTGATGCAGAGCCCTCGTCTGAGCCTTCCTCAGCCTCCAGGACTGGCCCAGGTTCTTTCCCAACCTCACTATTTTCTGGCCACCGGCGGGCCACAGCACCTGTCATGAATCAAATGGCTGAAATGGTTGAAGGTGTTGGGGCCTGTTCTCAACTCCAGGCCTCCGTAAGTATGTCAAGATGTATTTCCGAGATCTTATCCCCCACATGGAAGTGCTGTCCAAAGAGACCTTTCAGCACTTTATACCAGGGGAATCAACCTTCATTGAGGATTTTGATAGTGTTCTCACAAAATGACTTCCAGGGTGGGCACCGCCAGCTGTAAACCACCTGTTTTCCAGAAGTCAAGCTGCTGATGTTGGGTCACTTTGCCAGCAACTCTAACTGACCCCCTTGTCAAGCGCAAAGAGTCAGGACCACACATTAACTTCTAGTTAAGGTGATTTATTGGTCATGCCTATACAAAGAATCGCCAACTTGCAGTCAGCATTAAATTGGTGCTAGATAAGAGTCAATGGATATATCTGCTGAAAAAAGACTGCATTGGCAACAGGAATGGCATCCAGCCAGTAAACACTCAGTTTCATTCAGTTGCCCAGACTCCATCCCGCAAGGGATTATGAGACCATTAAAAGAAGACGATAAGAGTCGATGGAATTCAAAAGAGGCTGGACCTGGACCGCTTGTGGGAACATAATGATTCCGGGCTGATTCCTCTCTTGACTCCACCCACAAACTCTACCTGTCCTACACCCCTGTCCTACATCCTCTGATGATTTTTATTGCTTTATTGTTTTCCTAGGCAGGTGAGCATTATTCAGATGTAACTCAAGCTAGAGCCAGCCATGTTTAGATTGGAATCAGATGGAGGAGAGATTCTGACTGATACCAAAAGAGATATCAAGATGCCTACCCAACTTTTCATGCATCTTGCAATTGTTGGGAACAATTTTGTGGAGCCTGGTATTATTACTTCCATATTATGGGTGGAAAAATGGAAAATAATGGCTTGCTTGCATTTGCAGAGTAGCTGTAGCTAAATAAACTTGCTTGGGACTTATTATTCAATTTTTACCTTGTTTCCTTTTATTTATTAAGAGTCATGCTGGAGCAATGGTAGAATGCAATATTTGCAGGGTGATTCTGTGTCAGGTTTCCATGTGATGAAATCCATTTAAAAAGAAAAGTACAAAGTCCATCTTCAAAAAAAAGATTTCTTTTATTTTGGAAAGCATCAAATTGGCAAAGTCCATGGTAATTCCGAATCTGACCCAATTCGGAATTACCCCACAATATTACAAGTTAGAAACAACCCTCAAAAGTCACCTTCTCGAATAGAAGTAATTCAATGTTGCTTGATGTCATAAATCTCCACCTCAAGGGATCCAAGCATGGACAGCTCGTTTCCCACGGGAAGAAAGATCACCTAGCCAAAACAACTCTTTATCTCCACTCCTCCCCCCTTAGGTATGCGGCAAGCCCGAAACCCTTCCCCAATGACTGCCACAGAGAAAGTAAGAAAAAGAATATTGCCTAACTAAAATGGCTACACATACGTCAATTTGGGGCTTGACGGTCTGCTTACTGCCAGGAGTTCTATCCTGATGAGGTCGGTCAAATGAAAGCCTTCCATCCTTCTGAGGTCGGTCAAATGAGGACCCAGATTGTTGGGCGCAAGATGCTGAGATAGTAAAACCCCTTAGAGAGGGCTCTAAAGCATATAAAGCAGTATATAAGTCTTGTTGCTATTGCTATTTTGGCTGTTGTTTTGTTTTCATGGAGAAGCTGAAACTTTTAAGGTGCTACGGAGCACTGTTAATCCTCTTGTTTTTAAACATTAATATGCTATAACGAAGCTGAACGTTCAATCCCATGCAATATGCTCTGCCCTTGGAGTTCTGCTACTCATGCCTTCCATGTTTAAGGTAATTTGGAGAACATACATTCCTTTGCTGATGCCCCATGTAATTACAGATTGTAATATTAAATCTCACAGTCACTTGATATGAAATTTTGAACACAACCAGTGTCACTATCCAGAGGGACATAAAAAGGAGCATGGGCAAGATTGTCTTCATTTGAATTATTGATTTATTTAATTGTTTAAAGCCTGCCTTAATCCTAGTACAGTCTGGGTAGAGACCAACAAACACAGACACACATTCAATTAGCAGTAAGAAGCAATAACCCAAGAGCAGTAGCTGAAATTTCTGTGATAGCTACCCTTTCAAGAGCCTGTATTGTGCAAAGGGAATGGCCTGGAGGGATAGGAGGAAAAACGGCTACCAAAACAACAGATAAAAGAACCCCAGTCCCAGTGCAGAACTGTAATCAAAGAAAATGTCTCGGACAAGGCACTCCCCGGTTCTCATAAACAAAATGGGAGGAATGGGGCAGTGCATTTAGACTTGCAAGACTGTTACTCTACCTTTATAATAAACAATAATTGACCTGCCTGCCTAATTTCCTAGTCAGGTCTACTTTGAAGACTGACAGGCTGAAAGAGTGTGGGACAGGCCAGATCTGACTTTATCTGCTTGCCAAATGCAAGAAGGTTGGGGCCAAACACATCTCCCAAAGGTCCAAGATCGTGGTAAGTATGAGAAGAACCACAGATACTGCAAAGCCAATCATAGCAGCATCCTGTCATCTTTAGGCTCATTCCATGAATATTCTACACTGGGGGTGCCCAACCCTATCTGTGGACCGGTATTGGTCCACGTCATGCCAGAAATGGCCGCACAAACAAGCTCCATCTACGGGATGCAAGCAGCACACACAAAACCACACTCCCTCCAGTCCATGGAAAAACCTCCATGGAACTTAGTTGCTGGTCCCCCAAAGGTTGGGGGCTGTTGTTCTACACCAGAGGTCTCCAAACTTGGCAACTTTAAGACTTGTGGACTTCAACTCCACAAGTTGAAGTCCACAAGTCTTAAAGTTGCCAAGTTTGGGGACTCCTGTTCTACACCATCCAAATAGTGACTTGCAAATCAGCACTTATTCAGATTAACAGAGTTGGAAGGAACCTTGTAGGTCTTCTAGTCCAGCCCCCCCCCACAAAAAAAAAGCAGGACACCCTACATCTTTTCTGACATATGTCAGTCTAGTCTCTTCTTGAAAGCCTCCAGTGATGAAGCTCCCACAACTTCCGAAGGCAACTTCTCTTCCATGGGTTGATTGTTCTCATTGTCAGAAAATATTTCCTTGTATCCAGGTTGAATCTCTCCTTGACCAGCTTCCATCCATTATTCCTTGTCTGGCCTTCAGGTGCTTTGGAAAATAGCCTGACCCCCTCCTCTCTGTGGTAGCCCCTCAAATATTGGAAGACTGCTGTCATGTTTCCCCTAGTCCTTCTCTTCACTAGACTAGCCATGCCCAGTTCCTGCAACCATTCTTCATATGTTTTAGTCTCCAGTCCTCTAATCATCCTGGCTGCCCTTTTTCTAGAGTCTCAACATCTTTTTTATAGTGTGGTGACCAAAACTGGATGCATATTTTAGGTATGGTCTTACTAAGGCTTTATAGAGTGGTATTAGTACCTCCCTTGAACTTGATTGAATCCCTCTGTTAATGCAATTTAGGATTGCATTAGCTTTTTTGGCTGCCGCCGCACACGGCTGGCTCATATTTAGCTGGTTGTCCACTAATACTCCAAGATCCCTCTCACAGTTACTGCTATTAAGCCTGGTTTCACCCAGTCTATACTACTTATAGAACATCCCAATGCACACATTCTGGGCTCCAACACAAGTCCAAAAGCTCAGAAAAATAAACTACTGGTCCCAGTAACTGACACAGATTGGATCCTGAAACATTATCCTGGAAATGTATATTTGCCTTCATTCACAAATATTATAAGGGAGGAAAAAAAGAAAGAAATACTGTATCACTTTTGGTTATAAATAGAATGTTAATAATAGGACTAGGACTAGAATGTTCTTAAAACTCAGCATGGAAGGAGTTGATTTGATAACAGAAAGTCCTACTTTAATTTCCTGGAAGGGAGCAGTTTTCTTTTTTAATAACAAGAATTCAGGTTAAAATCTTCAGCCCCTTCTGCAATATGAAGAGGTTCCTGTTTTAAGTATTAAGCATCGTGCAGAGAGAGGAAACTGCTACTTCATCATTTTTTTCTATTTTAGAGCAGAGGTGGTTGGAATAAGAATTATTTAAAAATAATAATAATAATCACACCGCACATTTTTACTTCGTTGCTGAATCAGCCCTTTTTCGCAAGAGACATTTTCCCTACAGCTTGGTGTGTATGGACTGTACCAGTAGAGGCTAAACCAATTTCGTTGCATACATGATGTACAATGACAGTAAAGGCTTTGAACTATGTAGCCAGCATAAAGCTTGGCATACATGTAGCATGGATCCCTGGTGGTTAGAATGCAGCTGTCAGGGTTCCAAGTAACATACCTGTAGCAAACAACCTCTGAGGCAGGTAGATTCCTCAACGAATAAATTTATTGGATATGTCATATTGGCACAGGCTGGTGAAAACCGACTCTGATTATTCCCGTAGTTTTCACCCAGTTAAAAGTAAAAGTTTTTATACTTTCTCAAAAACAGTCACATGGTTTAATCAGGATACTGTCCAGTTGCTAGACGACTCCAGTCCTCTCCTTCCAAGCATCTGCAGGAATGTCCTTGGTTCCCAAGAGAAAGTATTTTGTTTTGACTATAACACCCCAATTATCTCTATTCCCCCCCCCTTCCTAGTCCTTTCCCCATCCTAGCCTATCTCTATTCCCCCCTTCCTAGCCTTCCAGTGTGTCAGCGCTGAAGTCTCAAAATAGCCTCAGTCAGGCCAGCTTCAGGGCTGACAGCAGCATTACAGACAAACTCTGCCCACAGCCTAGAGTTTGATCCTGATGGGACTCAAGGTTGCCTCAGCCTTCCATTCTTCCAAAGTCGGTAAAAATGAGGACCCAGATTGTTGGGGACAATATGCAAACAATGCTTACTTTGTAAGCCATCCAGGCAGTTCACTATGAGGAGGTAGATACATCTAAAGGCTATTGTTATGTAGAAAAATAATCCACATTGTTCAATGGTATGCAGGACTGACCTTGGGAGACAGAAGGAAGAGCTGCAGCCCAAGCAACAGGCAGACAACAGGCAGAAGCAGGAACAGGGACTTGGTAAACATCTTAGAAGGGACCATCCCTCAGTTTTTGGGCCATTAAAGCGAGGGGGGGCCAAAAAGATGCACTTTCAGGTTTGCAACCTTATGAGGTAGTCCAGATAAGCAGCACACCCAGCATTAATTGCTCTAACTTTCTTGTAAGTTTACATCAACAGAATCTTGCAAGTCTGAAAGTATATTTTTCACCCTCCTCCCCCACTTATACAGTGCAAGAAACTGGATGCATTGGAGGAGATTTGGCCTGCCTGTATTCCTTCTGTGAACTTAGCTATTGCTTGTCTGACCTTGGGGGAACAGGTGAAAGACCATTGCTTAGCCTATGGTCTTTCACCTGTTCCCCCAAGGTCATTCACACCTATCATTACAAATGCAGCCCTGATTTGTCTTTGCTAATAAACTCAAAATGATGGAATTATTCCCCTTGCAGAATCGATCCAATCTACCTCTTCCTGTTTTGAGAGGATGCTGAAAAAATGTCATATGTTCAGAAAGTTTTGTGCAATAGAGAACTCCGATGATCCCCGCCATAACTATGAGTGTTGGGCATTTCTCCCCTTTTAGGTTCATTGTGCTTGTGTCTTCAAAGTTGCGTTAGGATTGCTTTTGATAAAGTGAGATCTAAACATATGTATCGCCTGTATAATGGGTGTTTGCTTGTTGAGGAGGAACATGGAAAACCATACTTCCACATCCCTGCCCTTGGACAGCTTTCTCTGATGCCCCATTTTGCCTTAAACTAGCCATAGTGGTAAGACTTGATTAAATACTTTTAATCTGAAGATGCCTGACATCCAGAAAAAAAAGAACAAATTGAAGACAGGGCAGAGATGGATGTGATTATGGGGAAGGGAACTCAAGCAACAATAAGGTACTCCAACATACCAGGTCAAGATGGATGAGGATTTGAGATCATCTGTCATTCTCACTTCTCACAGATGAGCCACAAATGCACGTCTAGAGGGAAAATGAGTCTTTCAACATTGAGGATGACAAATGAGTTTCAAAAGAACTTCCATAACTTTTCTGAACAAGTTCATGCAAGCCTTTTTCTGGTTTCCTGCAATCAGAAACATTACAGAAAAGTTAATCCTGCCATAGCAGAATAATGTTAGGGAGGAGGAGGAGGAGGAGGAGGAGGAGGAGGAGGAGGAGGAGGAG